AATCATCTCGTTTTCTTTATAAGCATCATCGAGTTCTTTTCGTGTTAACAACTTTAAAATCATCTTTTCGTTTTATACACAAACGAAGAGAAGGGAACGAGAGAAAGGACAGAAGAGAATACCTTGTTTTTTTCACAATTGATTACGTTAGACTGCCTAGCAATCAAAATTTGTCTAAATTTCTTCGTCAACAGAATGCCGCGCATATTAGATGTCAGCTATTTGTGAGAAAAAATTGGGGCTCTTCGGGGTCGGGGTCGGGACCGAGGAGAAATAAAAAATATTTTCGGGTTCGGGGCTAAAAAGTTTGACCCCACTGATCTCTAACCCACACCACCACACCCACACCATTTAAACTTGTATTTTGAACATGAAGAATGAAGAGGAGTAATAGATTGATCTATCATAGCAATCATGTAGTCAGCATGAAAATCATGATTCGATCTTTTTATCAGTTTACAAAATAAATGATATCACCATTTATGAGTTGATTCAGCTATGTCATAGTATGATAAGAGCTGCTGAAGCATATATAGTGCGCTATTATAAGATTCTGATTATGAGATAGTCGATGGTAAAGAAAAATAATAATGTCCAATTAAAAAAAAAAAAAAAAAGACTAATATCGAGTGCATAACAACAATTATAAATGAAATCGGGCTCTCTTAAACAAAAAAAAATTCTGTTTTAAATGTAGAAATAAATAATAAAGTCTCGCTCTTGTCAACAATTATCAATGAAAACAATTACAGTATACAAGCAATTTTTAAGTTTACATATGATGTCTTAGGATATTAAGATTTAAGGATATATGTGAGCTTCACATTTCAGCTCCAAAGGAACTGCGCTAACAAGCTTTCTTTTTTTAACGTTGAGATAAATACGAGAAATCTTTATATAACCGAGTGCGAACCTGACGGCCTCTAGCGGCAGATCTCTATCTTTAATCATTGGAGTTCTTTAATCGCGATTATTCTTGTTATTAAAAGATGACAGTGAGAATAAAACGAACTGATAACCACTTAAAGCTACAAAAAATGTTCAATGTTTATCTTCGTTTGGCTTTCTTGATTATGTTTATAAATATTGAGCACATTCTTCTAAATTGATTTCAGTAAGAAATTGGTCATCTGGCAAAAATGAAAGTTGAACTTTTCTTATGTCTTTCACTTCAAACACAGAATATGGCATAATCAAAATTTCACCTTCGTTCGCATATTGAGATGAATTTTCAATATGTACACCAGTGCGCCTATGTTTGATTTCATATCTACACATAATCTATGATTTTATCAATGTTCCATCAATTTTCTTGCGTGTCATCACTTGAGCTTCTGACTGTGCTACTTCTTTTTGACATAAAAATAATTAATTCGGCAACTTTTCGATCGATGGATGATGACACAAATAATTTTGTCATTAACGAGCAACCTACTTCATATTTTTTTAAGTCATCATTGTTTATTCGCAGCACTCGATAAGCGGTACCGATAAACGTGAATTCGTTCAAACGTAAATCATGTGAAATTAATGCTATAATATACCTTCGTTCATTTTGATACTGGCTAGCACCAGCTGCTATTTCATTATTCAGAAATTTATAGAAATCTGTTTCAGCTGTATATGCTTTGATTATCCATAATGTATTTTGCTCTTCAGTAGCTTTTGGAAAATAACGTCTAATATTTTTAATACCATCAATATTAGTTAGTCCTTTATTGATATAATTTTTTTCAATTTTTTCGATCATTTTATCTATAGGAGTAGTACCTGTGCTATTGTCATAGAGTGATTTAATTATGTGTCGCTCTTCTTTCGCTTTTTCCATGACATCATTATCAATCAATATTCATTCAATAGCACCAGTATCCGATACAAGTCGATTACTATTTGGTACGCGAAGAAAAAGTTCTTTAATGCCATCATTCGCTGCTTCATCATACGGTAAACATTGATATTTATTCTTTATTGCTCTGTCAGCTCCTTTTTTCAATAATAATTTAACAATTCTAGCATGACCATAATAAGATGCAGCATGCAGTCCTGTACTACCGTTTGTTTCCAAACGATCTACATCATCAAGTGTCATTGTTCGAAGTAACTCTTGAACTTTCTTATAGTTATTGTCACGACATGCCACATAAAAATCGGCATAATCATCTGATGAATCCGTTGTTTGTATTGTTGTGGTAGACACTACTAGTGGATCAAGCTCTTGTGTAATACGATTAATTGTTGTTAATTTATCCATAGGAAGTTGCTCCAAATGATCCCTTTGAAAACGAGAATAAGTGTGTTTTTTTTCACGGCGCCGAAATACATGTTTTTTTAATGATTCCAGTTTGTTCCCCATATTTTCACGACAAATTTTTCAACGTTCAGTACTATTAATCAACAAAATAAATATAAAAAGAATCCAATAGTTGATCCTAATGAAGAAACTTTTTTCCACAAGGAGGTAATTTCCTTTACCGTACACGTGACCAAAGGTGATATTCGGAAAAAAATGAATTTACCTTTATCATATGAGTATGACGTTTCGTTATTATTTTACGAAAAAAACGCATGATCAAAACAAAAAAGGAAGAGAGCGCATGGTTGAAGAAGAAGAAGAATACCACGTCTTTCGGCTACCTTGCGGCATAGGGTGCTGTCCGCCAACAGTTTCGAAGGCCCAATACTTTTTCTACATCTATTACTAAATGTAGCTCTGGACAGAAAGCCGGCCTGACTCAGATTTCTTCCTACTTAATTTAAGCTCCCGTGCACACTGACTAACCACATATTAGCCACAGAAGCTTTTAATGTATGTCACCCATGTAGTAAGTTTGTTATCGGATGGGTGATCCCAGACAAAGCAGCCGTTAGTAACTTGTCCAAGGTCATTTTATGACTGATGAAGCCGAGGTTCGAACACAGTACCTTGCAAGTATGTGTTGAACATCTTAACCATTCCGCCATACCGGCGAACGTATGATTGACGTTGTATTGATAAGCAAATGTGGTGAATCTTATAGTTTCACGTGTAGACATTATGACTAACCCTTCACGATAAGGTTATCTAAAATGAAAAAATTATTCGTATTTAATGTAAAATTAGCTCTTATTAGAGTCTGCATAAAGCATGTGAGTGTGGAAGTCGCATCATCTACGAAATACCAGTGATTCGTCCACAATTGGATATGCTTGTGGGCGTGGATAGATGAAGCGAAAATCCACACCCACATCCAAATTCTTACTCGCGTAAGTCTATTGTTGCCTGACTACATGCTTCATTTTTTCATTTTCTCTTTTGTTTCGAAAATATAGAAAGAACTTTGTTTCGAATGGTAGTGTTTTTCATTTAGTAAATCAGATTGTTGTCCTGTTTATAGTCTTAATTTTTATGCTTGTATCTAACTTCTATTATTGTTCCTTCGTATTTGTAATATGTTCTCATAAACAGAGTTATATTCAATAAAAAAAGAAATAGTCACATTTGGTGATCTTTTTCCGTTGTCTCTATTGATGAATAGGGCCATCATTATTCTTTCTCTCGGATAATGTAAGTGTTAATTATCGTTGGTGACACAGTGAAAACAAACAAATGATACCTACAGAGTATTTACGCTCAAATCAAGCTTTTAACGTTGGATGTTTGTTTTATTTTAATCAATGATTGAGTGTAATACGTATAAATTACTGGGTGAAAACCATTGGATTTTTTCCAACCGACACTTTTTTCAAGCGTTATTTTTTCTCATCATGCTTATTTTCACATTTTTTTGGGTGTTGCTGACATCAAATGGTGAGCAAGGGTAGGTTTCACAAACCGAACAAAATTACATAGGAGTGTGAAGCACAGAAAGATACAAAAGTAATAACAGTAATCATGAGTAAGGTTATTACAAAAAAGTTATCAAGATTCTTTCAATTTTTCTAACTAATAAACTAAACGAATTAGTCTTGCCATGTTGATCCTCTAAGGAATCTAATTTTTCTGTTGGCATTCAATGTGAACAATTATCAACATAATTTTATTTCTTTGATTAATTTATTTCGTATTTTCCTCACACGAGCAAACAGATAAGTAAAAAAAGGGAGAGAAATGAAAAGAGAAACAAGATGACAAGTAATGATTAGAGGAAAGCTGTAAATAACATTGTGAATATGCTTCACTCATTTTAATCAAAAAGGCATCAAAATACAGTGTATTCAAAAATAGTCAAAAAAAACAAATTTTTTTGAGACAGCCGAACGTAGAAAAAATGAACTTTTGAAATATAGGCGACAAGAAAATTCTTTTTTATAGGAATAAATCACTAGAGAAGATTTTGGAGTACTTATGATAATCAGCAACCTAACTTCTAGTCTGATACCGTTGTTCATCTATTGAATAGGTTTTGTTTGTTATTTGTTTTTTCTTCCGTGTAATTGTATCCTTTCACGTTTTGCATGTCAAAAAGATTCTATGGGTCGCAGAAAAACTTCTGTTTATCGATAATTCTTGATTAGATTCGGTATCGCAATTTATTGATACTATTGATTGTATGAACAAAATTATTCATAGTTGCTTAATTAGATTTGTATTCAAGACGAACTTGAGGGTGTGGGTATGGTGGGTATGATTGTGAGTGTTGGTGTGGGTGTGGGCGTGTGGATGTGATTGTTCACTTCGCACACCCACACACCACCCACCCACACCCATACTCACCCGACACCCAAAACTCGAATGTGGTGATAACTTCACCTACGTCATTGGACTAGTAAATCTATTCAAGATTTGGGTTAATGAAGTCTCGTTCAAAAAATGATCCAGTTTACTTCAAGTGGTTTACTACAGAATCATCTTTATAAAAGAAGTTCAGTGTTTAAAAACAAGGGTGCGAGGCAGAACTCTTTTAAGCACATGGAACCAATTTTTGTTCGACATGTTTTTTAAAACTATCTAGAACCTTTGATGTTTCAGTCATGGGCGGATGAAGCCTTAGAAAGTTCAGCATCTTCTTCAAAACCATGAATGGCCCCTTATGACACCTTTATTTTAGAGGGTAGACTTAAACGAATCTAAAAGTTTGTCACATATAATCAATATTCAAAGACTATGAAAAGTTCTCTACATCAACAACAAGAGAGGTCTAGTGTTGATGTCAAATGGCTGTATAGCCACCGTCTGGCGTAATATTGGCACCTGTGATGAAAGGACACAAGTCCGAGGCCAGAAACACGACCACATTGGCCATTTCTTGCGGTGTGCCCAATCGCTTTAAGCACTGGCTTTTGGCGATGCCTTCTGTGAAAACTTCCATCGATAAATTCAATGAGACCGCATAATCGACAACCGGACGCGTAGCTGAAAAAATTCAAATATATTCATTAGTCTGCAGAAACAAAAGAGAAAGAGCAACACACGAATATAGCCCGGGCAAATAGAATTGCATCGAATATTGTAAGAACCCAAGTCGAGTGCCAAGTTTCGTGTCATTTGCATGATGG